AAAATCCGTTATATTTCAAGGATGTAACACTTTTTTTGTGAAATAAAAAGCAAAATTTATATATCATAACAAAAACATTTTAAAAAAATATACAAAATGATAATGAAAAAAATATCAAATATTCATACGATGATGGAAACATGTTATTATATACAATATAAGGCTGAACCAGATTGTTTACGCAGTTTAAACTAAAATAATGTAGATGAACAAGACAAAGACACTGTCATGTTGGGTTTCTGTCTATCAGTAAGTATTCCAATTATTTTATGTGAACAGGAAAGTCGTATTATTAAGATATTATGATTTTGTACAAATAGTACTTTTAAACCTCGAAACATGTGACCTTCACTTTTTATTTAACTTCACCAAATATCTATACATCTTTCAATGATAGATTCATCACAATGGTGTGAATATTCACAACATATTTCAATTTTGTTTCAAATGAACAGTAACGATTAGAGACTAAAGAAGGAGATCCTAATGAGTAATATTGAAAAAGTGAATAAATCTTAATAGAATACACATACTTGTATTTGATAGATATTACTAAAGGCATATGTTAATATTCTTAACGCCTCTTCTATTCGAAATTTAATGGTATTGTGCAGTAACTCCAGTCTGAACTAAAGGGATGCATTCACAGCACTTTTTTTCGAGAGGGGTGCTCTTGAACATACAATTTTGATTCAGACATGTCATGATAGCTCCTCCCACATATCGGCCTACGTAAGATATTTACAATGTGGTAATATATTCAGAATGACCAATCACGGTGAAGATACAAACTTCTCCAGTTGCATATAAGACTTGATCACCAAGTGTCCGTCCATAGCAGCTCACAAGAAACAGAAGGACGAGCATGGTAAGTATCAGGTTAATTTAGTCAAGGATAGTCAAATATTATATGTTAATACTGTAGGAAATATGTGTATAGCATTTCGTCGTTGTTAAATACTTAATCAAACTATCATTTTGTTATCGTTAGGTACGATCCATTGTGTATTATTTGTTTGAATGTAACAACAAATATTCAAAAAAGTATATGCTAATTATATTTTTATTGCAGATTATTACGGTTAGCGCTTTTTTTAAAGCTATTTTTCATTTTAGAATTACATGAATGATTGCATTATAACTTTTAATAACACTGTTTGTCAGTTATCAAAATTATCAAATCATCTAAAACGGCACAGTAAAACCGCTGTTTAACTGAAACAATAACCTAAACCTCATACTTATTGCAAAAGACGGTAGCTGAATTAAAACAGGAACAAAGGCGTACGAAAGTAAAAAATTTGGAAAGATTTCTTTTGTTCTGTTTGATCAAGAAATTAAGTAAAGTCACATATAAAAGACATGTTTAGAGTGTAATATCTAATTCCTATGTAAGACTTGATATGTGAAATTGACAGAAGTAAGACACATTAAAATACAGTTCAATTATGCTGAAAAATAAGCAGGAACTGTTGCGCTTGAAATAAACTGACCTGTCAAATTGGCCAAAACGAGTTTTCTAATTTTTTGGTCGTTTTGAATAATATACTTTTAATGAATTTAAAATAAAATTGATTTTTAAGATATTTAGAAGTAAAATTTTGATTCCACAAATAAAAAATTCATTAAATATTTTTTGTCTTTGAATAACTTTCCAATAAATGGTATTTTCACTTTTTTTAATAGGCAATGCTTAAAACCTCATCAAAATTATCCCTGTATCTATATCATCCTTAACAGAAATATCATTAATGAAAAATTTCTGGTTAATCAAAATGCCATTTTTTTTAAAATTTGAATAATTACTGCGAATGATAAAGTCAATGACACTGTTCATGATGGTATGAAATGAGGGTATATTTTTTATGTTAAGTCAAATCGCCAACACATTTATTAGGAATCATTACCATAACATTTGCCTAATGGAAATTAAGGTTTAAATGATACTTTGTATTTAAACAAATAAGAGTTTTTTTCTTCCATTGTACAGCATGAGGGATACAATAATTTGATCAGATAATGTAAAAGTTTGACTTCAAATATGGTTTATAATATACATTTATATAAATTTTGATTAAGTAATTAGGGGAAAACTGCAGTGAAACAAGATTTTGTTGTTCAGAATCATGAATGAAATTAGTATCTCCTTTAAGCTGAAATTATTCATGAAAAGTTCGATCCCCCCCTTTTTTTTGCAAATTGAATGGTTGTTTTTTTTTGTGTGAATTTACCTTTGATCATCGTAGAAATGGAAACAAAAATCATACGTTTAAAAGAGACCTACAATTTACACTGATATTGAGTAACACTATCTTCTTAATAAGAAAAAAACTAAAAAAAAATGTTTTTTTCAATATATACTTCTGACGGAAGATTTTGGCAAATTTGTACTCTATTTTAATTGGGGTTACCACACTGTTCATTTTGCATATAATGGTGATTTTCGTTATTTTGTTGATACCATTGAAAGCCAAAGCGTCTTACCCAATTCCATTTATCTTATTGTAAGTAAGATGCACACAGACCATAATCTAACTTAAAAATGGTTTGTAATTAGATCGACAATAAATCATAGAGTGACTGAACTTTACTTTGAAAACTTTCGTTTTTCATTCCCGCAAATGTTAACGGCTTGCATCATAACACACAGGAGTCGTCGTCTTTAACGAAGTGTGAAAAGTCAGTTGTTAAATATTCTATTCTGAAAACATTGCTACAGCTTATGTAACAAGATTGGGATAATTATGCTTTGACTCTTAATTTCTATCCTAGCTACATAAGCTCTTACACTGTACAATACTATCTATACGTACATTTGCAATATCATTAATTTATTTGTCCCTGTCATTAACACATATACCTTCCTACATTTTATTAATTGTACAATTAACTAATGGAAGGAAATGTTCTTCTTTTGTTTTACATAGCCTTGGGCTGAGGACATTATTTAAATTACAATATTTCAAATTATAATTTGATAAATAGGAAACGTTTCAAAAAGGGTCTTTCAAGTTGTAACGTTACGATAAAAATGTTCCCGAGTAGGCAGAAGGTCAATGCAGTCCAATAAAAATGCTTAGCTCATGACACGCTATCAACCGAAGATTATCTTCGCCTTTCAACAAAGATAAATGTTTAAGGTATGTATGACCCATCCGAAGACGAGCAAGGACAACTTCGTCTCGATTGTTGTCTCTATGGCATAAAGACCATTCCCCGATGTTAGGTTTTACGGAATGCAATTTATCTTTGGTATGAAGATTCCATTTCTTCTGCCAGTGAGTTGTTAAAAAGTGTTTAATAAATAGTTAAAATAGGTTACACGAAGTTTAAAAACAGCAGGTGGCAGCAATAAAGCTGTCTTTGCGGCACGATCAGTTTTTGCGTTGCCTAGTATTCTCATGTAGGCCTACCCAGGAACCCAGAAAAAGCAAAACGAAAGTTAATGAAATGTTCACTATATAGTATTAATGTATTACGAATGAAAATATTTTCAATATTTCTGTTTCCAAGACTATGCATTACAGAACGAAGAGAGCCTGAAAAGATAACAGCTCTCATTCCTGTTTGTTTGTATATATTCAAGGGCGAGGTAGATAGCTCGCGATTCCGCCGGGAATATTTAGGCGTTGGTCGGTAACCGGCATTCATTCTTTTGAACCATCAGTATATAAATGCAGAAGTGTTTATATCTATTCTGCAATTTCGAGAAGGATGAAAAGAAGTGCATCCGTCAGTGTCTGATTTGACCATTTTATGAAGCGGAAAGTCAACTTCAAGTGATTTTACTGGTCAGAGTGGAATTTCTATCGTTTTAAATGACAGAATGTGGACAATATCAATATATATATATATATATATATATGTCTTGTAAAAAGAGCTGAAATTCGAATATCGAATGGTGGAATGGTCTTTGTTTTATATTTCGGGTCAAACTTGATTTGGATTTGAAGAAACTGACTTTAGCTGAATTATGTATTGCAAAGCCAATTTATTTCGAAGGTTAGCCTCTGCATAGAGGCTTGTTGTAGGTGTGGTCTTAAAATCCGAGAGCGAGTCTAATAATTTGAGATATAAAGGTCTAGCAGACTAATACGCAATGGAACCGTAGTCTAATTTTAATTTAATGAAAGCTCTTTAAAGACTGAACAAAACTTTTCTATCAGTTTCCAAACCAGTGAGGGAGACTGCCTTTAGAATATATTTAATGTTTTGAGGCATTTGGCGTTAAGATATTTTGTATGTGGAAGGAAAGATCTTTTCCTGGAATATGTACACCACAAAGAGAGAGATTTGGATTTCCGTGTTGTCTCCGCATTTGACAAAAAATGCTAACAAACAGGTTTTGCTTGTAAAAATTTAAATACATTTTCATCTGCCCAAATATGAAATATATTTAAACAATGTTGTATTTTTCTTTCAATGGTTTTTATACGTTTAGATCGATAGCATATAATGAAGTCATCGACATAAAGAGCGCCCTCCACTGAAGGGGATAAAGTGTTGACAATACTGTTAATTTTAAGTCCAAAAAGAGTAACAGAAATATTTCTGCCTTGTGGTACACCAATTTCCTGCTGATGAATATCGGAAAGGGTCGTTCTATTCCGGGCATTATCTGATAGAAAGTTTGACCAAAAATTATCAAAATACCTGTATCATGCAATGAGATGATCAATTTAAAGCATTTTATGTATTTACGTTCTTCTTCTTTTCCCATTTCTCCACCAGGATGTCGATTCCACCGATGATAAAAATGTCTCTTTCATTCAAGGATGCTTCGGACCAAATTCGTACAAAATCCAGTAATTCAGACAGAAGATAAAGTATTTAAAAGAATTGCTATATTTCTTTGTTTAGAGCGCCGACCATTTTAACAAAAGTTATTTCATTCCCCTTCCCCCTCAAGACCCAAAAAGGCATGAACAAAAAAAATAAATAAAAAAACAGAAATACGAATACCTTCATGCAATGATAAGAATGATTTGTTTTTCGTTTACTTTTTTCGTCATCAACCTCCCACCCCATGATGCGATCCTATCGATGATAAAAAATGCTTCTTTTATTCAAGGTAGTTGCGGACCAAATTTGGACAAAAACACAATCATTCCTGCAGAAGATGAAGTTTTTTTTTTTTATTTTTTTATGTTTATTTTGGAACGTTATTTGATTCTTTTCGTGACTAATAGCAGGTTTTAGGAAGAGTAGATAAATAAATCACTTTAGCTTTGCCACGTCTGGCAATATGTGAATAATCGGGTACGGATGGAGATTTACGAGATATTGTGGGTTAAAAAATGTGTAGAGATATGCTATTATATCATTATCTGGATTACAATCCATGGATTGATAGGCGACGGAGCAAAGGACTTTTTTGCATATTATCTTGACAACATCAGAGTACTTGATAATTTTTGTGTTCCTTAAGTCCTTGTTTAAATAACAGATTTTGGAACCTTTTCTGTCTTTTTTGTTTTGTGTCTTTTCTTCATAAAATATAAGTTTACCTAATCTCCTCTTTGTTGACACGGTTCCATCTTTTTTGGAAAAATTTACTTCAGTTTGATTATTTCTATACAATGAAGGTTCTTGTAACAGAACCAGAAGATTGAATGTGACGTTTCGATGACTAGTTCCATCTAGTTTTAAAGTTAAACGATTTACCTGATGAATCTTTTGACGCTGTGTGTCATTAAACTCCATAGGCCGCCATTGTCTAAAGAGTTCGGGTGGTTTCATTCCAACATAATCTGGCCTATTATGTGCTATCCAAGCTATCCTATGTTGTTGTACATTTGTACGAAAATAATTGGTTCAAAATATGGCTTTGTGGTCATTTACTGTGCTATTCACATTGACAACTGTTTTTTTATGAACATCACCGCTATGTTGGTGAATAACAAATCAATAATCAAAATTGTTTTCTAACACACATTTTGGCTTTTAGATTATTGTATCATAGGACATCCGTATTGGTCAAAGTGGTAGTTTAAATACACTTATATATGAATGCCTGCCACCGGTAAGCTTGTAATAATAATTCAATAAGTATTTATATGATTATATTTATCTTCATGTTTATGACAATAGCAACTAAACAATAACTTATCGTGACGAAATTAGATGGTTTGACCGCACAGGGATATTGTACGGTGTTTACTTGCCGTCTTATACGTTATTTGACGTCTGTGACGTTTAAATGTTTGAAAAAGTCAATATTACAAAGCTTCATATCGATCATGCTCAAATGGTGAACGGTGAAACTGTCGATTGAAATTTACCTGCAAATAAATGTGTTTTCACTATGAAAAAAAAGGAGAAATAACATTTTAGGACCGACATCACGTCAAAAAACATCGTCTGCTTCTTGGTCCGCTGTAACAAGATAGCGGCACTGAGAAGCTCTCGCCGAGTCGATGTAGAACACTGAATCGGCAACAAATGTTTTTCAGATATATTTTTAGTGCACAGAACTTAAAAGGGTGTCATAAAACCTTTACGAAAAGTTTTCATGTAATCGCAAAATGAAGGTTTAATTCAGAAAGGTATGGCCAATAATGAAATATGAAACAAGGTATATATAAATATCATGCATATGTTTTTTCGTTTCGTTTTTACGTACACAACTGAAAACACCACAAATCGTTTTATATATCTTAATATATGAACGTCTCGATCGCTGTGTCATGTCACAGAACCCATACATTATACAGTTACATATGAACACTTAATACACATGTACTTTAATAAAATTTAAATGACTGATGAGTCGAGTTCGATCAAAATCATTATTACTAGATTATACTTTTAATCACTTAAGTGGACATAACAGTTTTATTTTTTGTCTGCTGGAAAGATGCTTTCTATAAGTTAGATAAATTGTGTAAGTATGGAAATATACTGGTACCCAGAAGTCTGTCCTCAGGAATGAAAACAGCATGGAAGAAGAGATGTCTTGATGATAATGAACACATTTTACTCGATTACTTAAAGAAAATGAAAGAAAAATAAATAGCACTGATATTTTGCGAAATCAAACAGGCTTAAACGCAGCTTACAGGTTTCTTTTTTTCAATCTTCAATAACCGTCAAGTAGTTAAGACGCATTAATATATAAATACAATCGCAACCCCTTGTCTCGAAAATTAAGGAGCCGTAGAAAGTATTTCGACTTATCCGAATTTCGAAATAATATAAATAAGGTTGACGATATCAGTTTCCTGACGTTGAGTTACGGTTGAACGAAGAAGGGCTACGATAGCAGCAAACAGTGTAGTTTAATCTGTTAACTGAAATGATAGTAATAAAGCAAATGAATTTATGTTCATTTTTATTATTTGTACATCCAAGCAACAAAACGTGTAATAATACTTCAATCAAATACATTTGTACACTCGTCGTTCCGTCACGCTCACATGGAAAATACCCTTACTGACCAAGCACGTATACATCATATATTTTACGGAATGATATTAAAACGAAATTAAAATTTGCTTCTGATACCCTACAAGAAACGATGTAAAGCTATAGATCATATCAATATAAACATTTGAAAAACGCGGCTCTAGAAAGTTTCTACATGTTACGGAAATCATTGTAAAAGCACTAGACTTAACAAACCACGCACAGATATAGACTTTATCCATGAAAAATACTTTCAACACTTCGTTGTCCAAACACTTAATTTGACAAAATGCCCGATAACAGTCCGTCAGCAAACAAGCTCAAAATTAGTTTCTCTTGGAAATGTGGGAATCGGATTTCGTCTAAAAGTTTGTACTGGTTAGACGGTTTCGTTTTCATCCTTCCTGAAGATGCACGCAACCAAGCTAAATGTTTTCACGTTTTATGTCAACGCGCTACTTTTTTAACATACGAGAAAGTCACTGCCACAGGATGGTGACACTAATTAAAACTAGTTAATTTCCATAGTACGTTTACAAGTAGACAAAAACTCACCATAATTTTGCTTTTCCGTTTTTGTTTCAGATAAGCAATAGAATATTAACGGTTTCACGTTAAATATCTTAATTTCACTCTCATGACACAATTTATTAATATTTTTCACTCATACTTCGAACCCTTGAAAATACTCTATCCTACTAGTGAAATACGTATAATAATTGCATAAACCATTAAATGATGAACAATTAAATTTAGTATATATTAACCTATTTCAGGGCAAGATGAATCTGATCTTGTTTATGTTGGTGATGGTGTTGGCAGTTTGCCAGGGTGAGTAAATATTCCTTTCTCCTATATCTTAATTCAGTATTCGCTTACATGAATGTTTTCTATTCGAACATTTGATTGATATGTAAACGTAAATAAGTTGGTATTGTCCAATCGTTTCTCCTTTCACCGGATACACGGACTAAAGTCATACAACACATGAGTTAAGTTATGTGACAGACCTGATAAAGTATAAATTTCTTATTGTCCCGACATAACAACGAGAGATTACTTTCTAAAATTGAAAACCAGCAACTGTTTTTTTAGTTGACTTTATTAGCATTAACAACAGCTTCCGAGGATTTTCTATTGCCTTACGTTTGTAGAAAAAAGTCCTGATGTCACCTTGGGTGTATGAATTGTTAAAAACATATTTTCATAAATATGAATTTTACTTAAATACCAAATTACCAATGCAACATCTATCATTATCCATGTTTGCAAAGGAAAAATAAATCAACAATAAACGATTTCTGTTTGAAACTTTGTTTATTCTTTCCTAAGATATTGCCAATGAGTTTACAAGTCATATGTCAGATGTTTTATCTCTCTTGAGGATTTATTGAAGGGCACAGTTCAATAGTTAGTTATCAGAAAAGTACACTAGAAAAGTTCCTGGGTAATATTAATATTATTTTTAAATTCTGATTTCTGCATATTTTATAAAAGTATTGATATCATATAGAGATCAAGCACATAATCCCTAACTGAAATATTTGATTAAAAAATGAACATATATGCTATGCTTACTTATCGATTTAATAATTTATTAGCTTTCATTTTTGATTTTTACAAATTTATGTCCATCAAATGTATTATAATACAGCAAAGATAATATTTAAATGATCATATAGAAACAATTGGGTTCTCAATCACAATTTCATGATTCCATTTATTTAAGTTTGTGAGAGACATGGAAGTAATATTATACAAACGCAAATTAGTCTGAAAATGCGATTTTGTCTGATTTAGAAATCTTTCAGTGTAATCAAATAAATAACAAGTTTATGATCGTATTAAAATTTCTTTGCGAATTTGTTTATTATTCCTATTTCGTTCTATTAACACGTTATATCCGCTGACAAGTCTGCACTGTATCTATGGAAAACATGACGACAAAATCAAATGACGTTTGTTGATGAATGCAAGCTGCAAACTTACAAAAGTAAAATAAATTTGGAATATCAATTGAAACACGATGATATATAATTCGTCAAAATTATGTCTTTGTAGGCAATAAATATTGTAAATTGACTGACAAAGAAAACGCATCATGTGGTAATGGAGGAAAGTGTACCACGCCTACATGCATCGCTAAATCGCAAGCTGGTACGTCTAGAAAAGGCAGTGGAACGTCCAGAGCTGCCAGTGCTACAGGAACTGGCTCTGGGACGTCCGGAAATGGCACCGGAACTGGGTCTTCAGGAGGTGCCACCGGAACTGGGTCGTCAGGAGGTGCCACCGGAACTGGGTCTTCAGGAGGTGCCACCGGTACAGGAACTGGCTCTGGGACGTCCGGAAGTGGCACTGGAACTGGGTCGTCAGGAGGTGGCACCGGAACTGGGTCGTCAGCAGGTGGCACCGGAACTGGATCGTCAGGAGGTGGCACTGGAACTGGTTCTGGTATGTTCGAGAGAAAGCGTCAGCACGCAGATTCCTCTTTTGGGGTTTAGAAGAAGCCTTTGATAAAGAAAATATATTGACATTGACACAATTGAGAGAAGTGGTGTCGAGGTGTTTGGACATCAAAAGCGCAAAACACTTATTTTCCTAATCAAAGTTCACGTATGAAAAAA